TTTTTATTGATTAGCAGTGTGAGATAGTAAATTTTTCGTTATTTTTCCGATGCCGCTTATGAGACTTGATATCTTGTAGTACGTTAATGGTCTCAACATTTTTAATGCATGGTCAGGGATGGATTTTAGTACCTACCTAACATAAATTATAGTTTTTGTTTTGTCAATAATGTATCAATGAGACTGTAAAAACATTTTTTTGTTAAAGAGTAACAACGGAATTTCTTGCTCTTTCTTCTCCATTCGAAACTACACTTTGGAATGAGCGCCTAGCGTCACTGACAGACAGACGGACGACCAATTTAATTTTTGACGTTTCAAAAGTGCCTTATTATGGATTAATTGAAATAAATGCTTTGACTTCAAAATAATCCTAGCCACTAAGCCACTATTAAACCTAGATGCGTCATTTGCTCAAACCTCTATATACAGGCACGGCATAGTGGCAGAATGCAACATGTAATTGTAAAAGATTTACTAGTTATTCGGAAATTGTCTAATTTCACAGTAATTTAGTAAGAGGCTAATTTACGGGCTTGGTCCAATGTTATAGTAGAAGAGAATGTAATAATGTGTTCTTCTATTTTTTAGTTTTATTTTGTGCAGTTTTTGTGACTATAAACATTTTGTGGGATTTTCGTAATATTATTGTTTTTTTAGGTCAGCACTTGTGTACTTTTGTATAAATTTATATCAATACATAGTATAAAACAAAGTCGCTTTCGCTGTATGTCCGTATGTATGCTTAGATCTTTAAAAGTACGCAACGGATTTTGATGCGATTTTTTTTAATAGATAGAGTGATTCTTAAGGAAGGTTTGTATGTATAATACATGCATATTGCACCCGTGCGAAGCCGGGGCGGGTCGCTAGTATGTATATAAAACAATAGGAAATCACCCCTTTCTAGCCATCGAAGAAGAAATATTTTTGAAGATAAAACATGTTTAGTTGTTTTTTCAACATAACATAACATCACGCCTTTTATTCCCAAAGGAGTAGGGAGAGGTGCACATTAGTGCAGTTAATGTAACACCCACTTTTCACTATTTATGTTTTTTATAACGTAAAAATGTGTTAAGGACAAATACCTCACGATATCTGTCCTTAAACTGCCATATCCTCAGCAATCACATATTTAACACATACCTATTATAAATGAAAGTTGTATTATATTAAAATGAATTATCTGGTTTTCAACAGCCGTCAGCACCTTGACTCCTGACATCCGGTACACTTTTACAAAGGAAACTTATATTGCAAATGCAATCAACAGATATAATAATTATACATTAACAAATATTAAATAATATTATAATAATTGACGTTTATACACATATTTCTCAACAACTTCCAGCCTGTAATACTATTAATTTTATGATATCGTTTTAACACAACTTTTTGTTTTATTATTATTTCGTTTTAATTGTTTTTTAATGTGACACACTGTCCTGTGGAAGGGCCAACTACAACTAATGTTCGAGAACTGAATGAGGGTAAAATAAATAACTCTAGATGAATGGTATTTAAACTGTAGTCGAACGAGTGAATAGAAAAACAAATAATATAGGATTTATATTGAAATTATGTCAAAACTACTCATTATTTTGCAGTTTTAATAATTTTTTAATAAGAGTTTCTTCATTTTGGCCAAAACTATCTTTTCCTCAAAAAGTAATTAGTATTTGTCAGAATATATCTAAGATATTATTGAAACGGTGCATTTATTTCATCATTTTTTTTATATCAAACTTGCTCTCCGAACATAAAATCGATATTTTCAATCACAACCAGATCAATCAAACGAGTATTTATTTTACGATAACGATAATCTCTTTTTAAACATTTAATTAAAAGTTATTACTTTGCAATATCTATTAAATCTTAAGTTTTGCTCTGATTGACCTATTTACTTCATATCTTAATTATCGTTGTATATTTCATTTAAACAATAACTCTGTTATTGCGCCGATGTACTCGGTGATAAAAAATTTTAATTATTGCCCGATGCATGGTCAAGTACACTGAATGCCTCATGGTAACCCGAGACACCCTCTCTCCTATCTCTTTTTGAAGGTTTCTGAACCGTTAGCTCAGCAAGGTTTTGGATCAGAACTTTCATTGTTAATTGAATTTTTCTTTAAGAAATTATTTTATAGGTAGGTACAATGTACAATACAAGAATGGAAAATTGTATTTTTCTACTTAAATGTGGAATCAATTACCAACAAAGTACCCAAAGCATTAATTCATAACAGTGCGATTTTGTTAATAACGAAGAAATTCTTTTAAACAAAATTTTTTTTCTATATTATATTTTTCTCTCTTCGCAGGCTGCCAGCGCTCTCTTCACGCTGGATGGTGCTAGAGGCGAAGCTTTATCTCGTCGCCTCGCTCGGAGTGAGCGCAGACGTCGTCGCTGCAGAGCTGCCTTGGCCATCATAGCCCTACTGCTCCTTCTAGCTGCAGTAGGAGCCGTGGAACTCCTCATGTCCAGAGGACAGAGAGTCTTTGGTGCTGTACTACGCTAAGCTTATTGGTTCATTACCATCTACAGGTGATGATTAACCAATAAGCTTCAAGAATCAACCTTCAAAGAATCATACTGCTGAACATAGGCATCTAATGAAGGAGCTGATAAACCCCATGTTTAGAGATTGTCAAATCATCACTAGTTTAGAGGATCTTGTTACCCGACTCTCGGTAGTTGGTCGAAATTTGTCGAAGAAATCTAGAAATCTAGGTGCAGAATCTATTATAATAGTGTTAGGATTTGTACGACCCACGCTTTGAATTTCTTAAGCAGTTCCTATCTGGAATTCCCATCATGTTGTTGGTAACATTGCTGGGAACAGATATGTTCGGAATGTTGGCATGAATGTTCACTCAGCAGATATATAAACATACATGGTATAATCCTCGAAGATTGAGCTCAGAATAAATAGCTTGGGGTAGTACAGTCACATTAAAAACATGACCATTTGATTGTCAACGTTTTTGTACTATATAATGGTTTATATAGCATTTTACTGTTTAGTTACGCAATTATATATGGTAAATCTAACGAGTATCACAATAGTATGAAAATGTTCGTAGCTGGGATGTTACGAACGTATGTTTTGATCACTTAGTAAAAGTATTCAAGCTTTTATTCTGTATTATACAAATAGGTAATGTTAAGAATAGTTTTAGTATGAGTATTTTTTATGTAGGTAGTAAGATTATGTGTAAAAAATCTTGTAAAATCGAACGATTTGGATTCCACTATCGAAAATTACCTTTAGGTTAGTTACTTATTAGAATTTACTATATATTTTTTGTAATATTAATGTAAGTAGTTAATTTTGTAAATACGTATTTTCTTTCGTTTTATAGGATACCTACTTGTACTTATGTGCCTTCCTATTTAGATGTAGAATTAATTTAAAAACTAACTCAATAGTTTTCAGACACATTTTAATTAAGTATAAAATAAAATAGTTCTTAGTAAAGCAGTTACTGCTTGATATAAAATTAAAGACATTATTATATTGGTACCAATAACTATTTGCATAGAATCGAAAAAAGTACCTATTGAATCTTATAGGTGACAAGATTTTCAAAATATAATATTGCACTGATTTTTGACATGGCTGATTCGACTAAAATTCATTTTATTAATAAGGCAATAATTAATATACTTTTTCTTCTTCCTTTAGCTCAAGGATACAAGAGAAAATTAATACTTACTATCTATTTTTGAATAAAATTTAGACATTATCCATAATCCTATTGCGATATTTAAAATTAATAAGTACCCCTGTACTAACGGGAGATTTTTACGGCCAATTATAAAATACACTTAAAAATATTATTATTCTTTAGTTAGTATTCAAATAAAATACTTTAAAATTAATTCTATTTATCATAGTCCTTTAATATTATTTCAACTTATGTAATTAATTCTTTGATAGTGGGATACAATCTGAATAAATTTAGCTTATTTTGATTTTACTGTATATTTTTTGACTTAGAAATGTATGTGAAAATTGAATTTAGGTAAATATTAAGGTATATTTAGTATTGTTTAAATTTCTTTTCTTGCAGGGCATATAAAATAAAAAAGCCCCTTTTCAATTCGTTATATAAAAATATTTTGTTGGCACTATTCTTGACATAAAATCTAAAACGCCATTTTAGTATCAATTTTATTTGGTGCCATAAAGTGTACAATATGTAAACCTTTTCAATTGGGTACTTGCCAACTAGTCAAATTCAATACTTTTTCGAACTGTCAAAAACGACAGTTTTCTATGAATTTTGTACGAATTGTGTATTGTGACGTCACGTTTTTTAGCGTCAAATAACGTACTTATTTCTTAAATAATTGCTGGAAAATACTAAAATCATGTTCGTCACAAAATCAATTAATGAAAATGTGATTATTTTTTAATACTTTATAGTATTAAACAGTCGAAATAATTTATTTTTGATTAAGGAAAGTACCCAATTATCAATGTAATGTTTTTGAGCAGTAATATTTTCTTTTTAATTTAAAATCTTTTATGAACTAGTGAATAAACTGGCCACAAATAAATTGCGTATCAAAAACATTGTAGTTCTTCAGTTTAAGATCTTTTCGTGGAATACCTTAAGAATTTAAATACAGAATGTTTTTGTTTTTAAATCGTAATGAGATTGCCATGTAAAAATATGATTCTATTTATTGTAATAAGTGGCCTTTTTAGTATTTAATTATTTGTGATCGGAATGTGATTGTAATTATTACTTAGAGTAAATATATTTTATGAATAATTATTAAATGTTCAGTCGCATAATAAATTAAATGACAGAAAAATAATTTGTCAACATATTTTTGCGATTGATTGTACATTAACGTATCTACTCTTTACAGAGTGCCCATAATTTTGGCGTAAAAATAAAATAAAGTAATGAATTCTTTGGTGTTTTATTTACAATACAAATACATTATTTTAATAAACATATTAATAAAAAAGAAAATAATATCTTTAGTGGATGATTAGGAAAGAAAACTCTTCGTAATATTGATAGATAATAATAAACAGATATAATTAAAGTAACATAGATAATATAAAGTTCTATCGTAAAATTTATTCAGCGTAAATAACTTCATCCACTTTTTGGTCTTGTTCGTTGGTTGGTACGTCGTCTATCACCTGGCAGTTGAAGGCTACTGCTACAACCTGAAACATTATTATCAATACTTATTGTATATTATTTTTCAATAAAAATATGATCGTAATTTCGTTTCGTCACATATGTAGGTATGTTATCTCATACCGATCACTGTATTTTGAAATAACTGAAATCAACAAACTCAATAGTAAAATATGTAATGCTAGCTTCTGCTATGTAACGATTTAATTTCTTACTGAGAATTTCGAAAGTCGAACAATGTCGAACACCCTTTGCCTCCTTGAAAATGCATCTACCTATGTGTGATACGACGATTCACAAAAGGAGGTGTGGGTACTGGGTGGATATGACATTTTGCAGTAAGATTATGACGATTCAAGTACCTAAAACAAACAACATACCTAAGATCACGCCTTTTATCCCGGAAGGGGTAGACAGAGGTGCACATTCAAAGTCAAAGTCAAAGCATTTATTTCAATTAAACCATATTTTGGTACTTTTGAAACGACAACAAATACAAAATAAATAATAGTCTGTCAGTCAGTCAGTCTGTCAGTGAAGCTAGGTGAAGCATTACGGCACTTATTGCCACTGTACAATGTAACACCCAGTTTTCACTATTTATGTTATGAGTCCCATATTATTGGGGTGAGCCTATTGCGATATACCGGGCACAATTCCAAACTCCGTGCTACTATTGAGATTTGTTTTTTTTAAAACCCAGTAATACTTTGCCCGACCCGGGAATTGAAACTGAGACCCCTTGCTCGGTAGTTGCACTCGGCCAGTGAGGCAGTCTAGTAAAAGTAATTAAGACAGTTATTCAGTATCGAGTAACCTGATAGGCTGAATAGACGTTAGGTATCTACTATTTCAGCATATAATATTTTATTGTATTTTAACGTACCTTGGGTGCGGTTTCCGGGTTACTCCTAAGGCCAGTAAGGAACTTATCATAGTAGCCCCCTCCGTGACCGCATCTGTCTCCGGATTTGGAGAACGCCACTCCTGGAGCTATCACCAGGTCCAGTCCACCTGAAGAGTACAATGATTTGGGTAAGTGTTAATATTTATATAAATTTCAATTAAGGTCCTTAGGTGATCTTGATTAGACTAACCAATTGTGTAAGCCGATGATCATTGTTTCTTTTTTTAAAAAATGTTGCCCCACACTAGGATTTTCTCCTATGTCTTGGATGCGCTTACAAACATACAAGTTCACATACACATGACACCCAGACCCGAAACAACAATTTGTAGACCTAGAAGAACCAACTAACCAGTTTCAACAGCATCTTCTCTTTTCTGATCCTTCGCATGCTGTGCGATGCCATGTCTAGTGATAAACATGGTATTCTCATCATCATTCTCTTCGAGAAGCAGCATCCTCATCTTTCCACCAGCATACTGTGGGACGAAGGCTTTAGCTCCTCGCTGCTTGATGTGGCTGATGATGGGGGCGGTGTTGATCTCCTGGTCTGTGCTCATGTATAGTGAAATACGGTTCGCTGATTTGTACCATGGGTGGTTAATTATCTGGAATAGAGATTTTGATGGTACTGTCGGTTTTGGTATCGATTATATCTAATAGATTTTATATTTCACTAGCTACTTCCGCGCGGTTTCACACGCTCTGCTCAGCTCCTATTGGTCGTAGCGTAATGTTTTATAGCCTATAGCCATCCTCGATAAATGCGCTATCCAACACAAAAATAATTATTCAAATCTGACTTGTAGTTACGGATATTAGCGCGTTCAAACAAAAAAACAAGCTCTAGCGCTTACTATAATAGTAGGTAATATATAAGATAATGGAAATTATTTGATATTTGGTAATTTTCGGATCGTCTAAAGTTAGTTATCTGATCAATTTGTGATGTGCCAATGACAACTGTACCCTACTGTACCTAATACTGCTGAAAGTACTAATTTGGATATCAAGTTGGTGTGTTATTGTCGAGATTAGCTAGTCAAATATTAACTGTGACTTTATTTATTTATCAAGGACAACAAACAGCAGTATATATAACACGAATGAATAAAATAATAGTTTTCACAAATACACTCCTCACGACGTTGTCACAGATTACTATAAATGTACTCAGCAGCTCGGAGAATCAATAAGGGAGACTGGTAAATAGTATTTGTGCCAACTAAAATTAACTAGAATTTAGTTGAGGAATAAGAATAAGGATCTATTTAGTCAAAGTCAAAATCATTTATTTCAATTAGACCAGGAAGGCACTTTTGAACTTCAGCAATAGAAATTTAAAAGTGAAGCTATTTGCTCATTCCAAGGTGTAGATTCTCATGGAGAAGAACGAGCAAGAAACTCCATACTCCTTAGTTACATATTTACCTTGTCGTAAACTATCTTAGACTGACGGTTCTTCTCTTCTGTAGATAGTGCTGCGATGCGAGCAGCTATCTCCGTCCTCAATAACGCTTTAGCTGGGTTCGGAGTGATCTTCGACATTTTATATTCAGCTCTGAAAAAAAAATAGTAAATTGAAAATGTGATGTAAATTTAAGGTATTTACGGTTCATAATTGCTATAAAAATGTGAGTTTATGTACGTACCTAACGCCTGAATACTATCTAAAAGGGTACTCAATTTTAAGTTATAGGTACTTATACATATATGTTGCCATCCTTGTTATTTTACAAAGAACTTGAAGTGGCAGAGTACTTCAGCGTGACTTAAAGTTGAGCCGCCTTTATGTATATGTTTTCTTTATACTGCCTCGTTGGCCGAGTGGTCGCAAGTGCGACTACCGGGCAAGCGGTCTCGGGTTCGATTCCCGCGTAGGGCAAAGTATTACTGGGTTTTAAAAAATTCTCAGTAGTAGCACGAAGTCTGGAATTGCGCTCGGTATATAGCAATAGGCTCACCACCTATTACATGGGACTCATAACATAAATAGTGAAAAGTGGGTGTTACATTGTACAGTGGCATTAAGTGCCGTAATGTGCACCTCTGTCTACCGTTTCGGGGATAAAAGGCGTGATGTTATGTTATGTTTTCTTTATATCCTATTGAACGTGAGTGTTTTGTAAACTGTTCTATGACCAATGTTTAAATGTTGATGATGAATACAGACACAATTATAGAACAATAGGTTGCGGTCACCGGTGACCGCTTGGTGTTTGACAGTTTAAGTATGAATTATTGTTCGAACACTTTCATACGGTACTGCCTAAAGTATTGTTGACACCGTAGAATGTTGAAGTTTCGCGATCGATTTCCTGTTCGTCAAAAGAGAAACAACTGACGAAATGATCTCACTTGATACACACGGCCACACATCAATCTATACAAAACCAGTGTATCCTGGTGTCGCGTCGCATCATCTTTCCGCACATTTAACGTTCAGTTTATACTGGTTATGTAAAGCTCCATGTGTATCCGAATGTAATATGACTAATATGTATACATTTATTTTAGTTCTTATTTAATAAAGGAAGATGCTACTAACCTAACGAGATAAGAAAACTGTTCCTACTGATCAACTCTATTTATTAATTCACGACACCACAGTTCACAGGGAAGTAGAATTAACAAAATGAAGTTTTAGTCACGAGTTCATATTGTTTAAGATAACGCAGTTACGCACTTGTTTATTGCAAATTACTATAAATAATATTATGACGTTTTATTTTATCAAAATGTTTAAGTGAATCTATAGTTGTAGATATCCATATTCATTCAATATAGGTAGTCAAATTCAATACTTTTATTGAAATGTCAAAAACGATACTTACTTTTCTATGAATTTTGTATTGGATCGAAACTTATCATATTTATGCGTCAAATAGCATACTCATTTCCTTAAAATAAGCGAGAAAAAATCCAAAAGTAGGTAAATTGTCAAATCAATGGATGAGAGTGATAAATAAAAGACATGCGTCGAGTACATGCATTTATTTCGAACTGGCTGAGATAGGTATTTGACAAGTAAAGGCATTACAACTACCCGCTACATATTATAATATGCAACAGAGAGTACCTATGATTATTTTTTTATTATTTATTGCATTTAAAGGTTGAAACAGTTTATTTTAAACCTAGGAAACTAGCCAATTGTGTCCCGTATAAAGTGACAATAGACCCTTCCCCTTTTACATAGAACTTGGAACATACTGTCAAAGTCAAAGTCAACGTCAAACGACACTTAATTTTAAGTTGTTCGTTCGTTTCAATAATTTTGTCACAAATTATATTTGTTAAATAACAGCGATGGCGTGATATTTAAGTTAAGTAGTAATTATTTCAGTATTAGGGCGTGAGTGTCATAATGACACTTCATGCACAAAGTGTAATTAGGGTAGGCTTAATGTCTGTTTCTACCAGCCAAGGATCTCTTCTCTGAATGTAACCATTCGGGAAATAAGGGACATAATTCTTTTTTTTATTGTTAATAGGATGGCGGTCGGCCACCATTTCGCCTGGTGGTAAGACGATGGAGCACGTCTACCTACGAGCATCCTGGGGACTAGAAGACACCCAAGAGAGACACACAAAAGAGTTCCACTACTTAATAATAATGTGCTACTCAAAATAAAATATCTAGACTTAGCTTTTTTTTTAAGGGGGGAAAATCATCGAATGAATGCTCCCGTCGGTGAGGCGGAAGGGAGTGTCAGACTCTTACTGACTAAAAACCACCCCGTTCCTTCTCTTGCACGTCGAGCCGGAGCCCCGGTTACCCGTTAGGTTCTCCGCGACATCTAGACTTAGCTTACGAGGTTGTCGAGATGTGGAGTGTGGATTCGGCTATCATTGTGCCGATAGTCATGTCGGCCAATGGGTTAATTCCTAAAAGCGTTGAAATTTATCTTAGGAGGCTGGCGTTAGGCGAATAGATAAAGCGCAGTTCTCCTTCAAACGGCCCGTATCGTAAGGAGGTTTCTGTCTCTGGAGCCCTAAGCACCGGTAGCTTGCAACTACTGGTCGGCTCCTATAATTTTATTTGTAAGTGGGATTGAATACTATTGAGAATTTTAAATAAATATATAGAATAATTATATTTTTAACATATACATATAAAATCTAAGTCACAACCCACTTTTAAATCAGTGTAATCGGTCTTTAGGTCACCAGTATACTATAAGATTGCTCCAAATACCAATATAAAGGGCTTCGATTATTTATTGAGCAATTTCAATAAGCTTGCATTAAATGTTGGTTATAAATGGCCATAAATCGTTTGATAATAATTATGACGGATGCAGTTACTTTTGATATATCGAACAAAATTTAGATTTCGAGGTCATATTACATCTTCGTGGGAATTGGGTAAATGGTGTAGATTAATCTCTTTTGGGTTTATTGGGTTTGTTATTTTGTACTCGTAAATTAAAAATATTGTATCGAATATCAATGTCGTAAGCTGGGTCTCGGGTAAGATTTCCCGGCTTGTCCACTTAAGCATGAAAGTTGGAACTATCTCCGATCTTAGTATATGAATAACGCCATTTGAATACATTACCTACGTAGTATGAATGACTTCATAACAAAATTAGTCAATAGTGTTTGTTCCAACAATATTTGGGCCTATGGGTAAAATAAAATACCTATTGCCCTAATAAAAAACCGTTAATATGTTTTATATTAATATATTTAACCCCAAAAAAATGTTCAGATCCCGAAGTTTATAGAGGGAGAAGTAGCAACAATTTATATTAAAAATAGAGTAGCGTCATCTGTGTTTTATTTCTAAAACTTTCATAGTGCCTACTTTAAAGAGATGTAGGTTCGTCACTTTAGAATTTAGAAGAATAAGTAACAAAATCCAATACATGTAGTCATTATTGTATGTCATTCTGTGACGTTTACAAATAATAAATAGATAATTTAATGTGTACTTATTTGTTATCTCAGTAGCTCAATTTTAACAATGATTAAACTATGACTGCATTGTCATTGACGATATGATTGGAGCAACGGTTGTTGTGTATCGCGTCGTAGGTTCAATTATCTAATTCTCTAGTGTGGTCCACAAACTGTTGTCTTCTGATGTGGACGTGAAGATTCATGTTTTCGAACGTATGGTCACGAGAAAAATTTCTAGTGTGGAGTAGGTAATATTTTTTTTATAAGGCAATGTAAATTTTGATCCAGTAGGTAGGGTGAGTGATTGCAAGTATCTCTTCCGCATAAGGCATCTAGGATTCAATATATCTAATACCTATGCCTGTGCCTATACAAACATAACATCACGCATTTTATCCCCGAAGGGGTAGGCAGAGGTGAACATTACGGCACTTAATGCACTGTACAATGTAAATGTTACACCCACTTTTCACTACTTATGTTATGAGTCCCATGTAATAGGGGGTGAGCCTATTGCCATATACCAGGATGTGCCTATTCTATGAATAAAAGTGTTACATTCATTAATTTTAATAATCTGGAGTTTATAAGTTGCATCAGCGTATAGTAGATACATAATGTATGTATTTAATGAAGCAATAACACAAATCTACGTTCATTGATTGACAAAATTTAAACAGGAGCTGAACCATAACAACAACTTTCCATTACCGGTAAATATTATTTAAACAACAAGTCAAACCTATCAATTTCTTTAAACTACTTAAACAGGACCAGTAAAACAATCAGATTTTAGGTCAAAAGCCAAATGATTATGGTCACAAGATATTTGTACGGAATAAAACTTGTAAATACAATGATAAAGCAAATTATTCTTACCAGTAAGACGTCAGATTCACTTTGAGTGTAAAACAGACTGATAGTAAACGATAGCCGTTGATAATGAAATAGGAGTCTAGCGCTAACCAAAACAAACTTCATGCATGACACTACTTCCACACGTGGTCGTACTGGTAACGCCATCTATTGATGTAGTGTTGAACTAGTTGGCAAGCATGTTTGTTGAGGTCGGTGTTAAAATGTAGTTTGTTGCAGGATTTTGATCATAGATGTCACTTTTACAATGTAAGACAGAAACTGTTTTTGTCAATAATTTTATTTTATCCATAGATATACATAGATAGGTATACAAGCGTTAAAAGTTCCATTTCAGGCCGTAAAAAATTCCATGTGTCTAAGTAAATAGATTATCTAAAGACTTTTTATATATGAATGTAGGTACAATTTATGTTGTTTTCCTTTCAGATTATTTCGTTGAACAATTTGCACAGGCAGACATATTTTTATCATTTAATAAGAGTTAATTAGAGAAGTCGTTAAAATTATCGCTTTTTATATATTCTTTTAATTTTAGAATTGTGCTAAAGAATAAAATGTGTTTGCTTTCGTATTTTGTAATCCTTGCCGATACGTAGATAAATTAATAATAATATTTAACTATACAGGACTAGTATTAAGTATATCAAATTCTTGATAAAAATCTGAGTCTAATATAATTCTATTTTTTATATTATTCAGGTAGAAAAAAAGCGGAGCGTCTGGAGACTTCGGCTACGGATCCTGTTTGAAAGTTAGAAAAAGATTAAGTAAATCTTTAATAATCCCTAAAAGATTCCTTTTTCATTTACATAATCAAACGCCTTGGAGTTTCAGAGTAAGAAAGGTTATCTTTGTTGTCATTGTATAATTTTTGTCTGGGAATCAAATAGATAAAGAGATAATGTTAACACAAAACCAGTTGAATGAAGAAGTAGTGAATAGCTGGTATCTAAACATACTTCACATACTTGTAGGTAACTAAGTTATTTTATCATCACGCTTATCATTCAATTTGGCAGTAATATCTTATACTCTTCTTATGCTATTATATAAAGCGGAAGAGTTTGTTTTTTTGTTTGTTTGTTTGAACGCGCTAATCTACGTAACTACAAGTCTGATTTGAATAATTATTTTTGTGTTGGATAGTGCATTTATCGAGGATGGCTATAGGTTATAAAACATCACGCTACGACCAATAGGAGCTGAGCAGTGCGGAAGCAGCTAGTCTAAGTATATGATCACAATGAAAGCTAAAGATAGATTATCTACAACAAGATAAAATGCTAAGTTTTCTATTAACCTACCTAATTCGAAGTGTACCAAGAAAGAGATCATCTGATGAGGTGACTTATGATGACTTATGACTTTTTTCATCAACCACCCTTTAATGAACCTTTTAGTTTTAACTAATGGTTACTTAACGTGAGTATACATTTTTTTTTGACCGCGAAATTCATCGAATGACTCTCGCCCGGGTAAGGCGAGAGGGAGTGTCAGACTCTTACTGACTAAAAACCACCCCGTTCCTACTCCTGCACTTCGAGCCGGAGCCTCGGCAACCCGTTAAGTCTTCCGCGAGACGTGAGTATGCACCTACCTTTGACTTTAGGTAACCTTACAAGAGAGTTTAGTGAAATAGGCATTAGACAAATGAAGTCGTTAGTCGTGATATTATGGGTCGACGTGCTCCATCGTAGGCCACATCATCGCTTACCACCAGACGAGATAGCAGTCAAACAAACGTCAGTCCTGATCTAATATAAAAAAGTGTAAGTAGTCTTAAGTCACGCTTGTTATTTTTGGAAGCACTAGACCAAAGTATAATAATCATTTGCTGATTTCTCCTTTCCATAATTTAACATTAGATATGTATGTCTTTACACAATGAAACCTGAAAAAAAAAACAATCTTATTGAAACCAACATCTTTATCCGAAAAAGTAGCAAATGTAGTATCTGAATTCTGAATCAACAATTTATTTAGGTTTCAGCCTAACTAAATTGTTCCTAATCTGACCTTTTACGCATCACCCTTTAACCTCTTTTGACAAATAAGATTTTGCCGCCGAATGGTCCAATGCGTTGCCCGTCAACCCTAGCTAAGTACCTGTGACCCTAAATAAATTTTGTAAAGTATATGATTACATGGCTTGCTCACTTTGGAGTATAGATAAAAAGAATTTGTCAAGGACATTTTTTTTTGAATGGACATAATATTGTAGGGGGCGCTAGATGGGTTTTAAAGGTATAGAGTAATGTCTTTTATATCAGGTGAAATTTTTAAGGGGACTATGGGTATGAGTACCTCGTTGGCTGATTAGTTGCAAGTGCGACTGCTAGGCAAGGGGCATCGATTTCCGCGTCGGGCAAAGTATTGCTGGGGTTTTTTTTTAAATCTCAGTAGTAGCACGGATTCTAGAATTGTGTGTATATGGCAATAGGCTCACCCCCAATTACAAGGGACACATATCATAAATAGTGAAAATTTTGTGTTACATTGTAAAGTGGCATTAAGTGCCGTAATGTGCACGTCTGCCTACTCCTTCGGGGATAAAAGGTGTGATATTATGTGTTGTGTTATAGGTTGGTATTTTATGATTACAAATTGTGTTTCACAGCATTAAATTTTGGTGTTTGCTAGCAGTTTCTATTCTAAAGTCGAACAAAGTACAAGGAACATGTCTCAGTAGTAAATAGGACAGAGTTTTGAATTAGTTCACATAAGTATTTTTTTTTATTTCAAATAAAACGTTGACCCACAATAGGATTTTCTCCTGTATCGTGGGTGCGTTTACAAACATACAAGTTCACATACACAATGACACCCAGACCCGAAACCACAATTTCTGGATCACACAAAGTGTTGTTCCGTGTGGGAATCGAACCCGCGACACGTTGCACGGCAGCCGGTTGTTCAGCCACCGCACCAACCGTGCAGTCAAGTCAAACATATTGGTGACAATAAGTTGACTCCTAATAACTTGAGACTTAATTATAACTGGTGTTGCGTGCACCTCTGCCTGTCCCTTTCCCTTCAGTGATAAAAAGTCATGTTTAGTTAAACAACACACTCACAATATTTTCTTTTCACTTTTTTACAGGTCCCCAGACACTGTCCAATGCCAATCTCATGCATGCGACCGGAGACAGCAATTTCCTGCACGACAGGTGGTAAGTAGACTATAAATTCATTGACAGTGACATATGTCATTGTTTGACAGGTCCATTACGTTATCATGGAGTTTCAATGGAAGTGTTATGGGACCAGAATGGGGGCACCCGATAACGAAATGTTTGATATCAGATTTTGCTATAGTAAATTAGATTCCTGGAAGTTTCCATGATGTAATGGATTTATTTTGAGGCTGTTGTTTAATTTATACGTTGATAAGTGAATTAAAATAGAAACTATTTCGTTCACGTTATAATTACCTAAGTAAATTTAACATAACATAACATCACGCCTTTTTTATCCCCGAAGATTAGAGGTGCACATTATGCCACTGTACAATGTAACACCCACTGTTCACTATTTATGTTATGAGTCCTATGTAATAGGGGGTGAGCCTATTGCCATATACCGGGCGCGCAATTCTAGGCTCCGTGCTACTACTTAGAATTTTTTTAAAACCCAGTAATACTTTCCCCGACCCGAATCGAACCCGAGACCTCTTGCCTGGCAGTCGCACTTGCGACCATTTGGCCAACGAGCCAGTCTAAATAAAATAAAGGTATGATATTTTGTTACGTCGTTACTATGTTTATTATAGTTTTAATTTCTTTTTGTAGGTAACTTTTAAAAACAACTAATAAATCTACATATTTAAAACTTTAGTTCGAATTTCTAAATTCGATTTTTTATTACTTTCAAAATCTTTTAGGTACGAAGTTTACTAGTCGTTAGACCTTTTATCTAGGTACCTACTAGAATTAAGCTAAACCCTAGACAGTGCAGATTTCAACCTAGGAATTCTGCTCTATCTGGAATTTGCTAAGTTTGTATAAAATTAGAACGTCTAGGTTCTGTACCTGACAGTACCGTTTAGACGCGCACAGCTAGGGCTGTAGGCTGTTTAATGGCCTACCATTAAACCGCATATTTCATGAAGAGTTCAATAGAGACTAACCTACCCTTTTGCAGTATATTCACTTGTTATCAATTGTACATATATCTCAAGTTAATTCTCGTTTGTAATATAATAACCATATTTCATTTTAAAATGTTGACGATCAAAAAAAGACAGGGATGTTACGGGTTCGATATGCCTTACCTTAGTAAGAAGTGTATTGAACTGTGACGTCATGCGATATTACGGCCCGATGCACTGACGTAATTCTTTCATTACGGGAAAACGAAAAAAATATATGTCATTATTTTTTGTGTATCGAGAAGTATTTCTTATGGAGTTTAGGTCAAAATTCTACCACTAATAACTGTCTCTAGTCAGCCACTCTACAGATACCTTGGTACTTATACAGGTGATGGTAGATAACAAGTTTTATTTTAAATAAACCGACTTCAAAAACTAAAAACATACGAAAAGTAAAAACTAAAAAGCAAAAAATAACTATTATTGGTCATGCGTACGTCGATGCCAGCCATTCGATGATTTTCCCCCATTAAAAAAATCACTCTCTTCAGTTATCCGTTACCGAAATAATAGTTTTTAAGTATTAATAAATTACAGTTTAACCAACCTTACTTTTAAAAGAACGGTGAATTATTGTAGGTATTTTCTTTTAGCTCAATTATTTACTTTGTCCCATTCATCACTGAGTTATGCATAAGACTGTAAAGTTTTATGTAAATAGCGTATGTATGTGATGTTATTCTTTCCTGAGTGTACTGATAAGCATGTAAACTAGGTTTAGCATGTTTGTTTGTATGTCATTTGTGTCAGCTATATATTTCGAAATGCGGGCATTTCGCTGCAATTAGTGAATGACGGAATTAGCTATGAAATTAAGTCTACATATTGATGCATGAAAAGATTGATGACTGTTGATGAAGCGAAAGAGGTATGTTGGAATCGTATTAATTGATGTTCCATAGTATCTGCCTACCCCCATGGGAGACAGGCGTGAAGTTATGTCTGTAT